AATGTGGATGATACTGACTGACTGTAATTTCCACTCTTTTATCTTCACTCTAGAAAGCATTGAAAAAGACAATGATAGATTTTTCATTAATTTATTAAAAAATGGAAGCAATTTTTAATGTTGATATTTTAATTTTCATTAGTACTAGGTAGTTTATGACAGAAGTCACAAGGAGAAAACAAGGATCAAGTAGTTTCGCTGGAATATATATTTGTCGTTGTTGTTGTGTACCATAGAATTGGAACTGACCCATAGCTGACCTTCTGGTGGGTTTTCAGAGGCAGTTAATGGCACAGGAGGATATTTCCCATCCTTCTCCTGCAGAGCTACTGGTGGTCTCGAACTTGGTGCCTTTGGGATTGCAACACAGTTTCTTGTATCTATCTATCTATCTATCAGCTAAAATATACTTGCATATGTAAATAACCAGAACAAATATTCAGGAAAGAACATCTTTGCTATGGCACTTCCAAATGACATAATAGAACTGTTTACCAAAAGGTTAGAGGTTTTAATCCACCAGGCACTCATGGGAGAAGGACAGTTTTTTACAAAAAAGATTTACAGCCCAGAAACCTGTTTGAGGGTCACGGAATTGGAACAGTAGATTTTGTTTGGCATAACATTGTCTTTGCTTCTCTATTAAAAGTATGTGATTGAAACCCATTCAGTTGATGCCTTAATCTGCTAATGAACTGTGACCCAGAGTCTGAAAGACATTGAGAACTATCTTGCCTGGACCCTGTCATTAGAGAAGGAAAGGGCTAAGTCTACACAGAGGTCGGACCGACTTGGGTTACACTTTGTGCTCTCCTACTCTTAGCTGTATGACCTTTGACAATTTATGCACATTCCCTTGGCTTTATTTTCTCATCTGTCAGTGGAGATGATTATATAGCAAAACCTTTGAAAGTTAGAATCAGTGTAAAGTGGAAGCCTGTCAGAGAAGGAAAGCTTAAATGCTTTCCAGTTATAGTGATAGAAATTGCTAAGACTGCATCCTGTCAAAGTTGGACACCTTGCAAGATCTGGATCGGCAATGCAGTTCTGTTGAGTCCCACTGCTTTTTAGAGGGCTTTCAAGGGCTTGTTGTTTCAGAAGTGTATGACCTGTCCTGCTTCTTAGCCAAGACAATGTATATAAATTGTTCATGATCACACAGTTAAGAATATAACAATTTCAAAGATCTGCTCAAGAACAATGTTGGCTCTTGGGTTTTCATAGATACTTTTTACTATGTTGAAGAAATTCCCCTCTAATCCTATTTTGTTGAGTGCTTTAATCATGAAAGGGTGTTGGATTTTATCAAAGGCTTTTTCTGCATCAATTGATAGGACCATATGGTTCTTGTTCTTTGCCTTGTTGATGTGATGAATTACATTGATTGTTTTCCTTATGTTGAACCATCCTTGCATACCTGTTATGAATCCCACTTGGTCATGGTGGATTATTTTTTTTATGTATCGTTGGATTCTATTTGCCAGTATTTTATTTAGGATTTTTGCATCAATATTCATGAGAGATATTGGCCTATAGTTTTCTATTTTGGTGCTGTCTTTTCCTGGCTTTGGTATCAAAGATATGTTTGCTTCATAGAATGAATCTGGGAGGGTTCCATCTTCTTCTATTTTCTGGAATAATTTACGTAGAATTGGTAACAGTTCTTCTTTAAATGTTTTGTAAAATTCACTTGTAAAACCATCTGGTCCAGGGCTTTTCTTGGTTGGAAGTTGTTGTATTGCCTTTTCAATTTCTTCTTTTGTAATGGGTCTGTTCAGATGTTCAGTTTCAGTTTGTGTCAGTTTAGGTAGGTTGTGTTTTTCTAAGTATTTGTCCATTTCCTCTAGATTTTCATATTTGTTTGAGTATAGTTTTTCATAGTATTCTAATGTTAGCTTTTTTATTTTAGTTGGGTCTGTTGTGATGTTACCTGATTCATCTCTTATTCGGATTATTTGCGTCTTCTCTCTCTTTTCTTTTGTGAGTTTTGCTAGTGGAGTGTCGATTTTGTTGACCTTTTCAAAGAACCAACTCCTAGTTTTGTTGATAGTTTCAATTGTTTTTCTGTTTTCTATTTCATTTATTTCTGCTCTTGTTTTTATAATTTCAGTTTTTTTAAAGGGTGTCAGGTTTTCTTGCTGTTCTTTTTCAATTTGCTGGAGATATTGGGTTAGAGAGTCAATAGTTTGCTTATTGCTATAAGTTGACCTCTGATTACTGCTTTGGCTGCTTCCCAGAGGTTTTGGCAAGTGGTGTTTTCATTGTCATTAGTTTCAAGAAACTTTTTAATTTCATTTTTTATTTCTTCTACTACCCAGTCATGTTCAAGCAAGGTGTTGTTCAGCTTCCAAATGTATGGTTTTTTCTCCTTTATCATCCTATTATTAATTTCTAATTTTGTGGCATTATTGTCTGAAAAGATGGTTTGTATTATTTCTACATTTTTGAATCTACTGATGCTTGCCTTGTGACCTAGAATGTGATCTATTCTAGAGAATGTTCCATGCACTTTGGAGAAGAAGGTATACTGTGCTTTTTTGGGGTACATTAGTCTATAGATATCTATGAGGTCAAGTTGGTTTATTGTGTGATTTAATTCTTCAGTATCTCTGTTGAGTTTTTTTCTGGTAGTTCTATCTTTTCTTGAGAGGGGTGTATTGAAGTCTCCCAGCACTATAGTAGTGTTGTTGATTTCCTCTTTCAGTTTTGTTAATGTTTGTTTTATGTATTTTGCTGGTCTTTTATTTGGTGCATAGATATTTATTATTGTTATGTCCTCTTGTTCTATTGACCCTTTCAGCATTATGTAGTGACCTTCCTTAGAAGACAAACTATTACAATGAAACATTCAAAGACTGAGAGAAAACCAAAAAGGAAGAACATGCATAACATTGCTCAAGCTGAAAGAAATGAATAACAAATTTAAGCCTCAGATTGAAATACTGAAGGATTCTATGAGCACATTATTGAATGATGCAGGAACTATCAAAAGAAGATGAAAGAGTCACTGTCTAAAAAAAAGGGAAAAAAGACTGATATCAAACCATTGAAGAAAGGAGTCCAAGCTTTGCTGAAGGCATTGGTGACAAAATAAATCCCGAAGAATTAATGGAATACCAATTGAGGTGTTTCAGCAAATAGATACAGCTTAGGATATGTTTACTAGTCTGTGCCAAGACATTTGGAAGACAGCTACATGGCTAATTAACTTGAAGAGATCCATATTCTCATTCCTTCCCCTCCCCCACCAAAGTGACCTAATAGAATGCAGGAATTCTTGAACAGTATTGCTAATACTAAAAAGTAAATTTTTGCTGAAGATTATAAAAAAATGACTGGAGCAAAACATTCACAGGGAACTGCTAGAAATTCAAGCTGGATTCAGAGGGGAGAGGGAGCAAGGAATAGTACTGCTGATGTCAGATTCTGTCTGAAAGCAGAACACAATAGGAAGATGTTTGTGTTTTACTGACTATGCAAAGGCAGTTGACTGTGTGGATCGTAGTATATTATGGATAACGTTGAGACAAATGGGAATTCCAGAACATTTCTTCCTGTGAGGGAGACTTCATGGCATTTAACAACAGCATCTCTCAAAAGTTTTACTGTATCTCCCTCATAGAGTTGGAGTTGTGAGGATGAGCTACTAAAGTGGTGTCAGTAACAAGTTTACCCAATACTACTTTCTTTGTGGAAATAGGACTAGTGTTAGCACTGTTTTCCAGAACATTGTAAATTAAGTAAATTTTTATAGTAACCACAACAAAACAATGTTTACCAGTGTTTTTTTTTCCTTTTTTTTTTTTTTTCCTGACTGCAACAACTAATTGCCCCTTGCAGTTTAGGCATTCAAACGTAAGATTTTTGAAATAATTTTAATGTTAAAAATCCATCCATATTTTGTACTCTACTTCAAAGTATCTGTTCATGTCTGCTTGCTATAAGCACTCCCCCAATCCTGAGAAGATGCCCTGAGTGATTCATATACCCACCCCCAACCTAGGACTTGTGCAGGGTGGTTTCAGAAGCATGTTGTTGTTGTTAAGTGCTGTCAAGTCACCTGCAACTCATAACAACCCTATGTATAATAGCTCTGAAGCTTGACCTATCCTGAGCCAGTTTCACTGACTCCCACACACCTAATATCATCACCCCAGTTATCGTGTCAATCCATCTCATCTGGGGTCTTGTTTTCCTGTGCTGTCCCTCCACCCTTCCAAACATGATACCATTCTCCAAAGACTGGTCCCTCCTGGCCATGTACTCAAACTATGTGAGGCAGAGCTTCAAAATCCTTGCCTCCGAGGAGAAATTTGGTTTCACCCTCTCCAAGCCAGACCTATTTTTTGTCCTGCCTCTCCATGGTATGTTCAATACTGTTCTGCATCATTTAGTCATCCTTAGTCATTGTCCTGCTCTCCAATTCATAGCATGTAATTGTGAAACCATGGCCTGGATCAGGAGCACCTTAGTCTCTAGACTGACATCATCGCTCATCAGCACTCTGGAGAGGTCCTTGACAGCAGAGTTCCCCAATGCAATTAATCTTTTGATTTCCCGACTGCTGGTGTCAAAAGTGTTGATTGTAGAGCTAAGCAAGCTGAAATTCTTAACAACCTCAATCTCTTCTCTGTCATGAAGCTGCCTCTTGGTACAATGGTGAGAATCTTTGTCTTCTTGATGTTTAGCTTCAATCCATACTGAAGACTACAGTCCTTGACTTACTGCAGCAAACGTTTTCAGATTCTCTTCAGTTTCGGCAAGCAAGGCTGTATCATCTACATAGCGCAGGTTGTATAGACTTGTATTGTCTTTCTGTGGGAAGTTGCTAGTTATACTTATCCTGACCATTCATACCTGCTGGAGATTATATCTAACTGTAAACGGGTATCTCTGATCCCTCATAGTCCAAAACAGTAAGTATGTGGAAGTACCAGGGATTGCCATGCACTAATGCAGAAGTTGGGGACACCATCTAATGTCCACCTGTCTTTCTGGAGGTCATGATTGTGGTCGGCGGCCAGGCGCCCAAGGCGATCCGCAGTGTGGAGTGCTATGATTTCGAGGAGGACAGATGGGATCAGATTGCAGAGCTGCCCTCCAGAAGATGCAGAGCAGGTGAGCGGTCTAGCCTCCCAGCTTCTGGGGTGACCTTTCCCCCAGCTTGCTCCAACTGAGTTGATAAACTCCTTTAGATGACCTTGCTGCCTCGGTTTCCTGTGCCTCAGGTGTGGTGTTCATGGCTGGCCATGTGTACGCGGTGGGGGGCTTCAATGGCTCCCTGCGTGTGCGGACGGTGGACGTGTACGATGGGGTGAAGGACCAGTGGACGGCCATCGCCAGCATGCAGGAGCGCCGCAGCACGCTGGGCGCCGCGGTCCTCAATGACCTGCTCTATGCTGTGGGAGGCTTTGATGGCAGCACTGGTAGGTCCAGAACATACTCCTGACCCTGCACAGCCTAGTATGCACCCTCCTGCAACAGTACTGCTCCTGCTCAGGACCAAGCCCATCCTTCCTTCTCTTGCACAGAACTCCCCATGTGCTGTGATCTCTCAGGCTGCAGGAAAGCCCTCCTACTCAGAATCTTTTCTGTAATTTCTTGTATCTGGGAATTTATTTATTCAGAAGGTGAGATTCACAAGGGTGTATGCATACCTAGAGGGTGTCTCAGGATTCTAGTCTTAGTCCTCCACTGAGCGGATGAAAAAAACTGAGATTCTGCAGTGGAGAAAGACCTGGCTCAGAGCACATGGGGTCAGGCTGCCCTAGTCTTTGTTCTTCATTTTTTTCTGTTAAGTCCAATTTTCAAGCTAAATAAAAACCAGAGAAAGGCTATTCCACAACAAGAGAGTTCTTGCTCCTGGCTTTTAATCTAGCATCAAAATTGCAATCAGGAACTATTAGTGGAGATAGATTTAGAGATATTATTTTATCTTTCTTTATACCTCTAGGCAGATGTCTCTATAGACAGTAACTCTAATAAACTAAAATGATAGCCTTTAATTCCTGGAGAGATGCATATTTTTTAACTTCTATGAATAGTCAATTGGTGTTCTCACAAATCAGTATCCTCTCCCATCATTCTTCCCTCTACCGCACGCATAATTTCAGAGTCGTTAGCCCCCACCAGGGTCTCCCATGTTCTGTTGGTTGAGTGTGAAAACAACACCAGCCACTCTGGTGGAAAGAAGATGTGGCAGTCTGTTTCCACGAGGATAACAGCCCTAGGAACCCTGTGGACAGTTCCACTCTGTCCTGTAGGGTTACTGTAAGTTGGCGTTTACTTGATTGGCAGTGATCTTGGTTTCTGCTCTGGAGGCTGCCTCTACTGACTAGGAGTTGGGAATAAAGACAGCAAAAGGGCAGTGAGGCATCCTGCCTTTCAGGAGTGATTTTCCCCTTGAAGTGGAAAACCTGACTAAATTGTAACTTTAAAAAAATGAGAGATTTTGTTTTATTCGTGAAATGAGAAATGCAAAGTCCAGCAATTACTGGATTGGTCTAGTTGCTCTAGGATGTTGAGCTCAAGTTCTTTCAGTTTCTCTTGGCCTTTCCCTCATGGTCACAAGGTGGCAGTGACAGCTCTAGTTAGCTCATTTATTTGTGTATTGGGTAGCAGGAAATAGGAAGGATGGCTTCTACATCAGAGAAGTAAAGGCTTTTTCCGAAATACCCATCAGACTTCTGCTTAGGTTTTATTGACCTATTCATCTCTAACTGCAAAGGAGTCTGGGAAAGTGAGTTTTTAGCTTTCTACCTGGGGTAAGATAAATATTCAGTCAGGCAACCTCAAGTGTTCACAGGGAATGAAACTATTTAATTCTTTAGCTTAAACAATTTTCAGTTCAAGGCAGGCTAGTTATTCCTTTGTCTTCTCATAAATCTCCCTCTGATGTAAATCTTAGTGGATCTTTCAGCTGGACACACCATATATGTGTTTAAGGGAGTTGCCACAGAGTGCACAATGAGGCAGTTATATCCACGCTTCTGTCCCTCAGCTTTGGATTCTTTTCTACCCTCACTGTTCCTCAGCACAGCAGGGTGGGAACTGTTGTCACACAATGCTTATGAGTCTCTTGTCTCCCAGGCCTAGCGTCGGTGGAAGCCTACAGCTACAAGACCAACGAGTGGTTCTTTGTGGCCCCGATGAACACGCGGCGAAGCAGTGTGGGTGTGGGCGTTGTGGAGGGTAAGGAGGCAGCAGTGGGTCATTACCAGATCCTGCCTGAATCCATGGACCTTTGTCTTATGCCCAACATCATACTTGACACTCTCTCTACCTTAACTCTAGTCTTCTGGTCACTGAGCTTGAGTTAGGTATTGTTATTCTCATTAAATAGGTGAGGAAAATTGATACTCAGAGGAAGAGCTATTGACCCAAGGCCCCACAGTCAAAGAAAAGTCAAAGGAAGAGTAGGTGGTGTGTAGGGGGGAAATGCCAGCTTCTTTGGCCACTTATCAATCACTCTGTTAAGAGTTGGAGAGACTAGAAAAGTAGAGAACCCAGAGTCAACAAACATAGGAGTTTTAATCTGGTTGAACATTTACAGAATATTGAAGAGGTAAGTACTACTGCCCAGGTCTGATTATAGTACATGGGAGGTTGCTGCTAGAGTTCAGCACTAGTTTGGGAGAGTATGTGGGGTAAGGTGGGAAAGGAGTGGTGATATCTGGGAGATGGTTATACAGTCAATTGTAGTTTATAAGGGGCTTTCACAACCACTTTCCCCATAGGCCCTGTGAAGGAGATAGGTAGGGCTTAGAATGCCCTCTCTTCCTGATGGGGAGATTGAGTGCCAGAGGAATGAGGTGTTACACTGCAAGATACTCGGCTGACAAATAGCACAATGAGTCAGTACTCAGGTCTTCTGACTCTACACCCAGGACCCTTTCATTATGCTGCTGTTGTTGTGTTGTTATGTGCCCATGAGATGACTACAACTCTTAGCAATCATATGCACAATAGCGTTAAAACCTGCACTATCCTGAACCAGTTTCACTATCTCTGTCACACTTGCCCTCATTACACAAGTTATGTCAATCCATCTCATCTGGGTTCTTCCTGTCCTGCTCTGTCCTTCGACCTTTCCAACATGATATTCTCCAAAGACTGGTCCCTCCGGACTTCATACCCAAAGTATGAGATGGAGTCTCAAATTCCTTGCCTCCAGGAGCAGCTTGGTTTCACTCTCTCCTGGACAGACCTGTTAGTTCTCTTGGCAGTCCATGATATATTCAATACTCGTCTCCAGCACCACAACTAAGAGCATCAATTCTTCTTCTATCCTCTTTGGCCATTGTCCACTCTCTGATGCATAGCAAGTACTTGCAAAGACCATGGCCTGGATCTGACACATCTTCTTCTCTAGACTGACATCCTTGCTCTCTTCAGCACTCTGGAGAGGCCTCTGACAGCAGATTTTCCTAATGCAATTCGTCTTTTGGTTTCCTGACAGCTTGTGCCAAGAGTGATGATTGTGGAACCGAACAAGTTTAAATTGTTAACAATCCCAATCTCTTTTCCATCTATGTTGATACTGCCAATTGGCCCAGTGCTGAGAATCTTCAATTTCTTCATGTTGAGATACAATCCGTATTGCAGGCTACTGTCCTTGACCCTCTGCAGCAAATGCTTCAGGCCCTCTTCAGTTTCACCAAGTAAGGTTGAGTCACTGTGCTGCTTGTCTTCAAAAGACCCCCAGTGATGCTGTTGTTAAGCCATTAGCATTTAACTGAAAGACTGGCAATTCAAACTCACAACCTACTCTGTGGAAGAAACAATCTGCTTGTGTAATGACTATATCCATGGAGCCCTAAGGGGTGGTTCTATTTTGTAATTAAGGTCACAGTGAGTTGGAATTGACTTGATGGCAACAAGCCAAAGTTACACTCTCTTATACCATTAGAAACTAACATGTAGGATGTATTATAAATATGAATCCAGTGTACCAAAATATAGACTATTATTTGAATCAAAATGTGTTAATAAACATTGTTTTATTAAGGTACTTTAAAATGAGCATTTAGCTGGAATAGCTATGCGTTACAATACATACATAGACATTCTTGCTTTCATGTACACACGTATACAGACATAAATACACAGGCGCACTAAAGACACTATAGCATGTAGTGAGTTAGATGTTAATAGAAAAATTCCCTTACTGTTTTGTGTCCTATATCAGTATTATGTATTTTAAATTTTCATTTCAAAGTATACTATTCTAACATAATAAACAAATTATCTTAGTGCAGGGATTTTTATTCTTCTACCAAATTATATTACTTCTTAAAATCTTAGATTCTTGATAAAACCAGAAATTGATTTGTCTGCCAAATATAAGTGCTTTATCTAGCCATCTTCCCATTTCTCCCTCTTGTTCCTTAGCCAGGAATATCAAACAATAGGTTAGGGATTATAGCAAGGCCCGGATCATAGACTCAAGGAGAAATCTCTAGTGTGTATTTTTCAGTTTATACAGTGTTAGAATATTTGAGGGAGCTTAAAGAATTCAACCCAATTACTGGTAGTAATCAAATATCCACCTTGACAGAAACTTTTCTGAGAACATTCTGAGTATATGTTTGTTGTTGTTGTTGTTGTTATGTGCCGTCGAGTCGTTTGCGACTCATAGCGACATACAACAGCCCTAAACCCTGCTCTATCCTGTGCCAATCTCATTGCCTCTGACACACCCATCCC